AATAATATTGAAATATTACAGTAATATTGTTGCGATATATTGTTGAAATATAATACTTTAATTATATTTTATACTTCAGATAATACTTTAAGTAGCAAAATAATGTCAAATGACATTTTAATGACATCTTATTGACGTCATTAAGACGTTATTAAGGTATCACACAATCATACGTATTGCACAGATAATATATACCAGTTAAAGAATTTTGGACTGAAAAAAAAAAATCTAAATAAAAAAATGTGATGAAATCAAAAGAGACTGACTTGTACTTTTGGGAAATAAAAGTGATTAAGATAAATTTTATAACTGGTGGTATTTAATTTTATAACTTGTTATTTGTTTTGTAATAATAAAAGGTAATTATATATACAATTAATTTTTAATTAAGAGCCATTAAGTAAATTGATAATAAAATAAATGGATAAAATTTAAAATTTATATTTCTTATATAATCAATATTAAACTTTTCAAATTACGAGTTTGTCACACGGATAAACAGAACGTTTCTGAGTGCGTAAGTGGAGGGAAGAAGGCTAGTGTGTGTGGCTATGCGCTTGGCGCTTGGTCGCAGCACCAATCCCCACTATTCCCGGTCTTCTCTCGCTGTCTCTTGCATGGCTCCGTGGGATCACGCAATCACGTGTACGACACCGCACAGAAACAATCGTTTTAATTTCAGGTAATTTTTCTTTATTTAATAAATATTGTTCACACAAATATTTTTAAAAGTATTTTTGTATAATTATTACTAATATGTACATTGTACATATATATATTTGGCGATTTGTCTTTAAATCCAAAAATAAAGATTACGTGGCATAATGGTCTGCAAAAACCACGTTAATATCATAAAAATCATTTCAATGACCATCTTAAAATACATATATTTGCCTTTATAATTTTATTGAACGAGTCTCTAATAAAATTATTTATTAACGGCTTCATACTTAAATCTTGATGCTAACTTAACCTCAAAATTTTTAACAGTTTAATCCAACTGGAGCCCTTAGTTGGAGATACGTGACAGAAATATGCCGATCCCAAATCTCCTAAAAAGCAGTTTAATCATTAATTAAATGATTTAACCATAATTATTTAACCATTTACATAATTTTATAATAATTATTGTTCTTATGCTATAGGTTACAGTATTGTTTTCCATCAGTGGATGTTCATGCAGTCCAGAGCAGCACCAAGTAGTTTGATAGAAGAGCAAGAGATTTATTTATTAGATATGTAAGTAAGAAAAAGTTAAATTTGATATAAACCATACTTTCCAATATTAATCGTCAATACTGAAAATCCAAAGTATACGTGTAATATCAACTACAGATTTCCAATATACATAGACAGTGAATATCACAATACAGATTCATACTTAACCTACTTTTATGTTTAAAATATATAATTAGATGTAAATAATAATTACTGTGTTTGTATTATGTTGCAGTGTTACGTTGCTTTCCATCAGTGGAAGTTCACGCAGAGCAGCACCAAGCAGTTTGATTTCTATCAAACTCTTCTGAGCGACAGCTTCATTTATTAGATACATAAGTAAGAAAAATTTAAACTTGGTATAAACTGCGTTCCAATATTTTAATATCCAGTACTGAAAATCTAAAGTGTATGTATAGCATTAACTATAGATTTTCAGTATAGACAGTGAATATCGGAACACGTCATACTTAACCCCGTACTCTTATGTTTTAATATGTAATTATGTATGAAATAAACAGGGTGATTTTTATTTCGTGTGCCAATCATCTCCGCTATAATTATATCAGAAAGTATTGATTTATTGGAAAAATGTTTCAGATAAAAGTTGGAGAGTTCAAGGAGGACCAATAGACAATTTTGTTAGATTTTGAGTCCGGGACCTGTGTTAAGCCTAATAGGATCCAAGTCAAATTATTTAAATAGAAACCCCCTTTTTATAGTATCATCTTTTTCTACTAATTAATATGAACAACTTTTGTCTGAAACATTTTTTTATTTGCCTTATACTTTTTGAGATATTCAAGGAAAACTTGGTATTTTTTTCAATATTTAGCTTACAATAGATGTTGTCAATAAATGTTCGTTGGAGTGAAAAGTGGTACAGGACTTTTTGACTTGATTTGGTTTCAAGAATATACTGTTGCAATAGTATTCTAATTTCTTTAAATAATTGTGTACACATGAAAACTTCAAGAAAATGTATACACAAATATTTAAAGAAATTAGGGTATTATTGCAATAGCATATTCTTGAGACCCTATCAAGTCAAAAAGTTATGTATCATTTTCCCCTCCGACAAGCATTTATCAAGATATAAGCTAAATACTTAAAAAATTACCAAATTTTTCTTGAATATCTCAAAAAGTATAAGGCAAATAAAAAATGTTTCAGACAAAAATTGTTTATATTAAGGTGATTGGGCCATGTACATACCATATGAGTCAATATAAGGGCTAAATTTTATTTTAAGAAAAACCATTTTTATGGATATATTCTAGACACTTGTATAATTACTGGTTTTATAATGTAACTTTTCATTCGATTACGTATCAATTTATCCACTGATAAATGTAAACAATTCAAGATTTGACTTCAGTTGACATTCGTACAAGAGAAATGTCGCGACATTGCATCTCTTCGCTGTAGGCAGCTATCATTCCAGTGTTTGAGTGAGGTTATGTATTGTGTTTATGTTAAAAAATAATGGAAGGTAACAAACAATTTCGATAACGAGAGATTTGCTTGCAAAAGAATAGTGCTGTGGAAAAAAAACACTACACGGCGCGGCGTTGCTACATGTTCACGTCGCGTACAGCTGATCGAAAGGCCGACGAAAAACGCGACGATTCATCAACTTTTGATTGAATTTTTGGCCTTATTACACGTCAACGTCGTTTTGTCTTATACTTAACAAGTGCTAGAAGAATCAAATAATGTTATTTTCAGTTTTTTTGAACTTGTTTCTTTACAGACAATGAGTGAAATTCTCGAAAAATGTATGTTTTTCGTACAATTTCCCATAAAACCTATGTTAAAAATGCCAACTTTGAGATTTAATATCTCCAAAACTAGACGTCAGATCTTCTCAAAATTGCAAATTTAAATGTATTTAGGTTTTTTTTATAACATATATTTAATTCGGATTTTTTTCTTTAACATGCTCTGAATGGCCCAATCACCTTAATTAGTAGAAAAAGATGATCCTTTTCTAAAAAGGAGATGTGAAGTTTATTGTTGCCGCTTTTCCGCGATGCCGATTGGTTTTCTTGCTGCGCTTACTTCATTTGCAGCTGTCATTGTATATTTTGACAGTTGTGTATAATAGGGTTAATAGTGAAATGTTAAAGATAAATAGCGCGCGCGTAGCGCGCGTCTGTAGTGTCTAGTGTAATAAAAAAGGGAGTTTTTATTTAAAAAATTTGACTTAAACCCTACTGGGCTCAACATGGGTTCCAGACTCAAAATCTAATAAGATCATCCATTATTCTTTTATAAACCCTCCAACTTTTATCTGAAACATTTTTCCAATAAACCAATATTTTCTGAGATAATTAGTGAAGATAATTGGCATACAAAATAAAACTCACCTTGTATAATTATACAGGGTGTATCATTTTAAGTGATTCAGCTGAATATCTCTTAAAGTAAAAGAGATTGGAAAAAATGTTCCAGACCAAAGTTGTATGGTTTTAAGGGGTACATAAGATGGTGTCATTAGTTTCACCTTAAATAGTTGCTTGAAGGTCACGTAAAGGTCACCTTCAATTTTGTAAATAGAACCACCTACTTTTTATTACATATTCTTGTAGCTTATTTCAAGGGCTTTCCAAAACACTATAAGAAAATATTTTTTCATTAAGAACTTTTGGAATTATAAGGTTTGAAAGTTCTAGTATTTTGACATAAAATACAAAATATCTTGTAAAACATTAAGTTTTCGGTAATGTTACCTTAATACTTTTATGCGCAGAATAATGAGACAAATCAATTGGTATAAAAAAAAGACATAGTTGCTTTTAAGAAAATGTATGCAGATGCGTGTTGCAAATTACATATTTTTTCTTAAAGGAACTATGTTTTTTTTATACCACGTGATTCGTCTCATTATTCTGTGCATAAAAGTATTAAGGTAACATTACCGCAAACTTAATGTTTTACAAGATATTTTGTATTTTATGTCAAAATACTAGAACTTTCAAGCCTTATAATTCCAAAAGCTCTTAATGAAAAAATACTTTCTTATAGTGTTTTGGAAAGCCCTCGAAATAAGCTACAAGAATATGTAATAAAAAGTAGATAGTTCTATTTAAAAAATTGAAGGTGACCTTTACGTGACCTTCATGCAACTATTTAAGGTGAAACTAATGACACCATCTTATGTACCCCTTGAAACCATACAACTTTGGTCTGGAACATTTTTTCCAATTTCTTTTACTTTAAGAGATATTCAGCTGAATCACTTAAAATGATACACCCTGTATATAAATAATAATTACAGTTTTTTTATTATGTTATAGTGTTACGTCATTCTTTATCAGTGGAAATTCATACAGTGCAGAGTAGCATGGAGCAGTTTTGAAGAAGAAAGAGATAGAAAGATAATATTAATATTATTTTCTTAATATTGTATGTAATACTATTATTAGAAATAACAATTTGATAAAATTTAATAATATTCATTAAAATGTTTTAATTTTTAGCAATATTAAATAAATATCTAATATTGCACAAATAATATTATTGCGTTTACAATATCAATATTATTTTAAAATTGTATGTAACAATACTATAAAAAATAATTTAATAAAATTTAATAAAAATTATTAAAATGGTTTTTTAATTCCTAGTAATATTATACAAATATCACGCAAATATTATAGTAATTTTACCGTAATATTACTGATATTCATTTTCGCGGACATTTTAATATTACTGAAATATCTCAGTAATATTGCTGCAATATTTCTGATACATTTCATTGTAATATTGCAATAGAAAAATAATATTGCTGCAATATTTCTGCAATATTATGTGCTGTGTGGGATATGTATTTAACGTAAAATTACATATAATCTGCATTTTTCAGTGTAAGTAGTAAAATATTGCATGATTATGCTGGGATTTCAAAATCATGTAATTTCACACTTTTTTTTCAGTGCAGTAACTTTTGAATATTCGACAAGTGGTTTCGCAACGTGATCGGCGAGAGTATGAGCAATTTGCTTATTTAAATAGGAAACTAAATTTTTTATACTCACATTTTGCTTCTTGCAAAATTGTGCGTATTCATCATTATATTTCTTGCTTAGAACAGTTACTTTGTTGTAGCAAGTAGAATGATAACCAATATTATCAATCGATTCCAAGCATAACCTTGCGACCGTGCGCAAGCGCGGCTCGCATTGCGAAATCCCAGGCGCCTAAGGTGGTGCTGCGGCGCCTTTCCGAGGAGGCAGTACGGCTGTTGGCGAGGCAGGCGGAGCTGGACAGCGTGGCCGTGCCGATTGTGGAGACAGCAAAGGAGCCGGGACCGGCGTGCGAGGCGACGGTCTCGTTAATACGGAGCCCGGGAACCCAGGAGCGGGGTCCGACTCCGACCGACGACCTGGGTTTGCCGACAGACCTAGGCCTATTGAAGGATATCGTGGAGATGCTCGAGGGCGAGCTCCCCGATATCCCTGTGGTGGAGGCACGCGCTCCCGAAGCGTTGGAAGGCGAGCGGATGACAGGGGGCGAACCCGTAGCGGAGGACCACAGGTCCACGGTCTCTTTCCGCAGTCTTGAGGGCAGCAGCGGATCCGAGATGGACGAGGCGGAGCCACGTCCCATTTAATTTTAAGTCCAGCGTTCGCGTCCCGAGGATGGGGTTAAAGATGGTTGACATTAATGGTTATTTTGGTTTTTTTTTTTTTTCTGACGACTATGATCTTTTTTTCATTTACTCTGTTTGGTTTGATCGTAGTAGGGAGAGCGACCCCATCCGGCGCATAATTAGACATAAGCGTATCATGCCGCGCCAGTATTCTCTGTTTTTATTTTTAGTTGAGGCTCAAGCGGCGTAACCCCTCGAGAGGAGGTAGATATTTATTTTATTTTTCCAATTACGCAACTTTTATTTTATTCCCGTCGGCGCGGGTACGGGAGGTCGTGCGGCGGCACGACAGGGCTTGAGCCCAACCACACTTTCCAGGAAAGGGGAGGCTCCCGTGCGGATGATCGAGATGCTTCCACGCAGTATGACGGACGAGCCGTGACGGTCCGCGGCACGAGAAGACGACGTATAGAAAAATGGCGGACCACGCCTGCGGAGTAACGACTGTAGCGTCTCGGCGGCTATCCGAGACCCGAAAAGGTAGAAGCGCGCCACGGAATGCCGAAAATAGCGCGCGAAAGGAAAATGGCGGACCGCCCGCAAACTCAAAGACTACGCGACGGGTGTGTAAGACTAAGAGCTATGATCGCAAGAGAAGACCCGCGAAACGCGTCAGAATTAAAATCCGGCCAACGGTAAAAAAAGATGGCGGACTGTCGGGAATTTTCCGAACCGACGGCGTTGCGATGAAAGGATACGTCCCTGACGAGCGCACGGGGTCCCCGAGTCACGCATACGGGGTTGGCGACGCGACACGGGAACGCGGACAGGAGATAGCGAACCGTCCGCGGATTCGCGCTAGGTGCATCATCTACAGGAGTTGGGCATCCCTGACGTCGAGAGGCACTTCGCCGAGCCCACGAAACCGGGTCCCGTTGAGACCCGTTGGCCGGGTAACGAAATGGCGGACCGTCCGGGAACTCGCACTAGGTGAGTCATCCCCGGGGAAAAGACGTCTCTGACGAACGGGGACGTCCCCGTGAACGTCCGTGTCCGGTCGCCGTCGAAATCCGACGACCGGTAACGAAGTTACGGAACCGTCCGCCATCTCGCGACCTAGACATCTTCTACGGGGAAGAACCGCGGATAGCGTTTTACTAAGTCCGAAGTAAGCGTCAGGAGAGGTCGGCGTCATTGGCGAGCCCGATGCTCCGCACCCGGACGTCTTCCTCAGGGAAGTCGCCCGGATGGAAGTTGTAGACATCGTAATAGACCTGGCGCACAGGTCGGCGTCAGCGGCCGCGCGAAATTCGTCGCGGTGAAAAACCGCTACCCCGTTGCCAGGACGGAGTGACCGCGCGAGCGCAACGCGCGTGGAAATTTTTACGGGGTTCGACGCAAACGGCGTAAACACCCGCGTGGAAAAGTACCGGGGTCTAATGCGTAGTTAGCGGCGAGAGAAAGCGGAATAGACGTCGGAGTAGGGATATACGATACCGATGGTGGGGAGCTCGAACGAGACAAACAACTCGAGGCAGTCTCTCGGGGATGTTCGAGCGTATAACACGTAATAAGCCTCGCTCTTTCGTCGTCGCGCTAAGTCACCGCGAACGGCCTTTTTAGACCGAAATAACTTCGTGCGTCGTAGATAAACGGGGCGTGTGTGCCTACGTATACGAGCGTCCGACATCTTTTGTGACTTGAAGTTTTGTGGACAACCAACACTGTAGAGATGGGCGATATTGGGGGAAAAAATCGATTATGTAATAATCAATTATGAGAATAATCAATATCGAGAAATCGATTATTAAGAAAAATAATCGGAAAATAATCGTTTTTTTTTAACTGGTTACTTAAAAAATGGCACGTAAATGGTTTTTATTGTTTTTCGATTTGTTTAATTGTTTATTTTGAGCATTTCACATTTATGTAAAATATGTATAATATTAAGAAAATTTTTAAAAATTATTATTTATTGGCTAACTAAAACTGAAATAACTAGATTTTATGCCGATGGCGTATTATTTTTTTCTTGACTTATCCATAGTCGTGAAAGGGGCCCGTACAGATATCTGTAATATAAATCAAAACGATAGACTGCGTTCATTGCGTCTGCGTACTATGCGTGACCGCAACCGGCCAATCAGGCGGTCGGGGTACTCGGGGTCGGGCCTCGGGCCAATCCGGTGAATCCGGCCAATGACAATAATCGACATAGCCCGATGCGGCAGGGTAAAATAATCGATTAATTGATTAATCGGTTCACAAATAATCGAATAAAAATAATCGATTATGACAAAAATATAATCGATTTTTGTTAAAATCGATTATAATCGCCCAATCTCTACAACACTGGAAATCAATATAATTGAATAAATTAAACATCCTTTTCGTAAAAGATTTCGAAAATTTATTGAATTGGACTTACCTTCTACTTACCTGATCCATTGGCGTCGATCACTCGAAGTCCCTCGTTGATCCTGGATTCCGGTGGCAGCGACGATCCTGATCGGCGACGGCGATGATCCAGCGGTGGCAGGAACCTGAAAAAAGAAGATTAATTAGTCTGATTAATAATTAGAGAGATCGTTCGATACTTACCTTCTCGGTGGTTTAAAGGTCAAACCGAGTGGCGACCGTTGATTTCTAAGGACACGTAGCGTTGATTCGTGCCTCCAATAGTACCGTCCGGTTACAACCTAACTTCACCATGCACAAATTTTTTTTTACTCCGAAACAGTAACTTTAAATAACAATTCTTAAAGGATTCATTCTTAAAATCAATAATAGAATTCTTTAAACCACATAAAAAACACTTCTTCATTTTCAACTACACGTAATTTATTATCAAGACCGATATTTTTTAAGACCGTAAACGCAAGAGCAAGTTTCTTTACAACGCAATGCGAGATTTACTTCAAACCAGCGTTCCAAACACTTCAGCCGGTCAAGCCATCTTTGTCTATTACACAGAATAAAGAGCATTCCCCACTCTCTTTTACAAAGCAGCTGCCGGACACACACCTGTCTCGCTGCATCTTTTTCTGTCGCATAAAGTTGTGCGCGCAACGCTTCTCTGTCATCTCAACGCTCGCTGAAAACTTTACATCTAAAATCTAAGCAACCATGGATGCAATCCACTTTTTGATAAAGCAACCTAATACGGTTGGATTGTGAATTAAATAAGCTTTCATTTGATATAATAATTTGATTAAATAACTGATGAAGGTATATTAATAACGCTTACTCACCTGTTTATACCTGGCAACTCCACAGCTGCGCAGAGGGGAAAGTAGGCAACCTTTATTTTTCCAATTCCTTCGGGTATATTCTCTCAACTAATGCACAATTTTTATAAACAACCAATCAAGGAAGTTGATCAAATAAATTTAATTAAAAATTTAATTATTTAACATTATCCCAAGGCGATTTAGCTCGGCAACCTGTTTGCGATGTATCAATGTATATGTTATCTAGCATATATTTTTTATTATTCATAAATAACAAATGAAGGAATAAATTTCTTATACCGGATCTTAGACTACCACGTCCGGGGTCCCTCGCGCTTGGTGTCGACCGCCGACCGAAACTTTACGCCGAGCTTGCCTGCACGGCTAACGCGGAATATGGTGTGTCGACAACGTAACGGAAGCGCGACCCCCTCGCAGTCCGCTCGTGGCTCACAGTGAATTAACGGGCGACCTCACCGACATAACACGCTGTTCCCGGGGCTTGTCCTCGCCGTCGTCCTCCTTCCTCGTTCAGGTCGGCTGGGGTCACCCACGACGG